TTTTACAGTTTATGAAAACCTTATCAGCATCTCTGATAGACAAAGAGATGGAATTATAAGTTGCTGAAGCTTGCACATCAACCGTAACCTATCTTGTGGCCATGCATCTTTAGAGTAAAAATGATAAGATACTGTCTAACACAAGTGTAGAACATACAGTGTATCAATCACTGTGCATTTATTAACTTAACTTTGCCCATAGGAAACTGTTGGGGTGCTATTGTGCACTGCAGATGAGAAACAGATGAAATACAGAGTATGAATTACTGACCAATTTGAAACAAATAATACATTTTACAATTGGGATTTGAAGCCAAGAAGCTTGTCTTCAAACCTATGTGGCCAATTATACAAGCAAACTACAACCCGGAGGCCAGATCTGGCCCGTGGCTGTTTATGGACAGCCAGCCAGAGGACTAAGAATTTTTTTAAGTGTTGTTTAAAAAGAAAAAGAAAAAAAGTAGAACTGTGAGTGAAACTGCGACCCACAAAGCCCAAGACAGTGATTATTCAGCCTTTTGTGAGGCAGGCTGTTGCATCGTGCTAATCACTGCTAAGAAAACATGTTCCTTCAGTGGAAAATTGGGAACTACTGATCTTTACAGATGAAGGATATATCTGGCCATAAAGTGAGTTTGTTGCAAGTTGTAAACAGTGAACTCCTTCTCTGTAAGGCAGTTTTTCTTGATGTTTGCAGATTTTAAGTTAAGGACTGTATATATTTACTTGGAGAGAAAGCTGTCGAAGGCTAGCGCTAACTTGTTTAATGCTAGGTCTTCATTAAGAGAATAAATTTCAGATGGAGTTTATGTGCAGCTTTAGCATTCACTTTGGTGACAGGACATTGCAAAATGACTTTCTCTTTTGTTTGTTCCCTTGACTTTTTTTTGTTCTTTGACCGTACTGGGGTTCGAACCCAGACTGGTGCTCTACCACTTGACCCACGCCTTCAGCCGCAAAGTGACTTTCTGTTTTAAACTCATAGTTTTGATCTCACTGAATATTGATAATAGCAACAACTATTTGGAAGAAAAAAAAATGAGTGTAATGGTGCATTCCCTACCTCCACTGAATCTGTTAATGCATTAGTAAAAGAGAATGTAAACCAAATGGGAGCTTTCTAAATGAACTGACTTTTATTGGCTTTTTTAGAAATTCCAGTATTTATCTGAATTTTTATCGAGAGCTAAATGTTCACCCCAGATAATAAATATTCTTCCAACCAGTGCTAGACATTTTGAAGGTAGCTAAAAGAAAAGTTTGTGAAATATGTTTTTGTTTTTGTCATGACTAGGCTGACTTTCGTTTTGAAATGGTGCAAACCTACTGCACTGTATAGAGATGTATTTCATATTTATTATGATTGTTTCCTCGTAGAGAAATAAGGCAACATTTGGACCAGCTTACTTAGACACAGTGATGCTTTGGAGACGGTGAGATGCAGAGAGACGTGTGGTGGGACGTTGCATGTCTGTTGAGACCTTTTCCTTCCTTATCCTACCTGTCATTCAGTTTGGCAGGAATGGCGAACACAATTTCTGTTCTCTGGGTTTCTTCACTTAGATGACATAGACTTGAAAAGGTTCCTTTGAAAAATTTTCTTTTATTCACTTTAGGATTGAAAAATTAGAATTTTACATAAATTTGAAACTCTCTTTGGTTTTATACTTAAAAAACTTGTTCAAACATGTCTAAAACTCATCTATGTTCAGCAGCTTCTTATATACCAGTCTTACCTAATCTTTGTGCCTTTTTTGTATTGCCTGCATTTAGTGACAAAATTAATTTTAAAACAAAATCACAGACGCTGTTTATATTTGCTGGGTGAGTACGTACTTCAAGAATGCGCCTCAGAATTTACTCTTTTTGAAAATTTTGTAAATGACATTAGATCAACAGTGAGTAATTTTCAGGGCATCAATAAGCACTTACCACTTTTCTAACTTTATATATACCTTTTTCACTTTTTCATTTATCTATGTTTTTTACATCTTTACTCACAGGGCAAAGGATGTGGCGGGAATATTTATGCCTTTTTACATTTATTATTGTTTATTTATTTTTTCAAGTCAAGACCCAGCGTAAGCTTTTACAATTACACCTGAGTGGAAATCGCCTTTAATTATCAGTTGAGTACACTGTAAGCTTGTAAGCTCCCTTCTCTTCCCTTTCACCATCAGGGTCTGCCGCACGTATCCATCGCATTTCTTCTGGCAGGATTTTTACTGATGCATCGCTTCTTCTGTCACTTACCATGTTCTGCACTTATTTCTAGTAAATTTGTAGTGCAATATCTGAAATTTAAGTGTATATAAAATTTAGGTTATACTTTTTTGCAGTACTTGGAGTTTAATTCAGGGCTTCGTGTTTGTAGGTAAGCGCCTGTACCCTTGGCCTCTCCAGCCTTTATTCTGTCCTGGCGTATATGGAGATAAGGTCTTTGCTTTTTCTTAGGCCCTCATGGGCCACCATCTTCCTATTTTAAGTTTCCTGTCCTCACTGTGTGACAGGCGCTAAGACACCACACCCACCTGTTTCCTTATGAAGGAATGGGGTCTGCTAACTGTTTTTGGTTGTCTGGAACCACATTCCTCCTGCTGTCAGCTTCCCAGTAACAGATTACAGGCTGGGCACTATGTGCCCAGCTCTATGCTCTACACTGTCTTTCCTTTTTTGTTTTTCAAGAAAGAATTCTTCATAAATGTTGAGAAGGTGAAGTTTTTTTGAATTGGTGATGAAAGCTTGTTGAGTGGTACATGTCAGCCGCCTTTCTCTACCTTTCTGTACGAGTGAGATTCATTCGTCTCGTAATATAGTAACACTCAATGAGAGCAAGAGGTGGCTGTTTATATGTATTTATTATAACACACTTTCTTTAGCAAAAACTGGTAAACCTATTTTTTTTATAATTAGCAACTGTAGCTGAAAAATAGAGGTCCTTATTTGGCATAAGATTGCTAGACACTGAACATTTTTGTGCTTTTCTCTGAGTCATGGATGCTGTACATTTTTGTCAGCCTAACGCGTCTGGCTGACATTACTTTCCCGTTAAGATGAGAATCCTTGCTGTAATGTTATTACTGGAAATGGTAAATGTAGGGATTTCATCCAGTTAAAAATCTACATTTGAAGTTTATTTTTAGGAGCTTATGTAGAAACATTAAGAAATATCTTCAAATAGTCATTTTATTACAGAGAAAAGTCTTCTGAAATATACTCTAATAAAATTATTTAAAATTTATTATGAGAGGTGAATGGTCAAATTTCTTATCAGTAAGCCCTTTCCTGTTATTTTGGAAACTTATAAAAATTTTTTATAAGTGACATTTAAATTATTTAGATTTATTGCTCAGCCTTCACAGCTTTTTCATGATGTTGACTTTTTTTACTTGGAATGTTTATTTCCAAGGTTGAATTTAATAAGAAATGATTTTTTTGTGTGAAATAAATCAATGATTGTTTATATTTTTATACTCATGGGAAAGTTTCTGTTTTGATTTGACTGGTTGGATATTTGAATTTATGTTTCTTTATGGCATGTTGAAACTATTTATATTATTTTAGTGATTTTCAAAAACTCAATGGAGAATTGCTTGGTGAATATGGAACCGTTTATTTTTTACTGATTTCCTACAATGTGCTTTGTCCACCATTATATGACCTGTATGGGAAGTTTTAAACCTCTGAGTTTTATCTTATTAGAACAGGCAGGAGATTCAATGATGTAATTTAAGTGCTTGAATTGTGAAGAGCTGTAGTTTTGCTGTGTTAGTTGACACTCATAAATAATTTAAAAAAGGTCTCAGGTCCTTTTGTGGTTTGCTGATGCACTTTATAAAATGAATTTTTCAGCATGTTTTGCCTGGTAAATGTTGTCATTCATTGATAACTTCTATGGGGATTTGGAAATAAACCCTTAAATCTCATACTGTTGCTAAGAAGGTATGTTACACAAGTTGAAAAATAATAATTCTGTTATAAATGATAACTAAAAGCTGCAATTCATTAGTCCACCTTATATGACTTATGGGAAGTTTAAACCCTCTGAGTTTTATCTTATTAGGAAACAGGCAGGGGAGGATTCATGATGTAATTTAAGTGCTTGGAATTGTGAAGAGCTGTTAGTTTTGCTGTGTTAGTTGACACTCATAAATAATTTAAAAAAGGTCTCAGGTCCTTTTGTGGTTTGCTGATGCACTTTATAAAATGAATTTTTCAGCATGTTTTGCCTGGTAAATGTTGTCATTCATTGATAACTTCTATGGGGATTTGGAAATAAACCCTTAAATCTCATACTGTTGCTAAGAAGGTATGTTACACAAGTTGAAAAATAATAATTCTGTTATAAATGATAACTAAAAGCTGCAATTCATTAGTAATGAATAGGAGGAAAAAATTAAGATTTTGTGGCTAAACATTCACTTCTGATATCTTCACAAGTTATTTATTTATTTATTTATTTTTATTTTATTTTATTTTTATTTTATTATTCATATGTGCATACAAGGCTTGGGTCATTTCTCCCCCCTGTCCTCATTCACAAGTTATTTTAGAGAATTAGGATCAGACTCATGATTAGATCTTTGTCTACATAGGTCAGTGTTTTGATGAGTAAAATTTGCTGGAGGAATTCACTTGATATTGTGTCATAAATTTGGGATTCTTATAGGTGACAGTGTAACTCATTGATTAGGTAATATCTAGAAGAATTTAATTTTTATAGATGAAGATACATTTTGTTGAAGTTTTTCTCTTAAGGTTGAAATACTTGTGCTTTTCCTTAAACATTAACAAACTTTTCTTTTTAACCATTCAAGCAATTTGTCATTTGATGGGTTCATCATCAACAGTAGCATTGCCAGTTTGAACTGCGTAGTTTTCAGTACTCTTGGTTCAGTTACGTGTAAATTAAACATTCAGTGAGCTCTTTGATCACTGGAGTGAGTCATAAGCTGCCAGTATTTAACCTCTTGGTAAATCTTATGTGATTTTTTTATGTCTTTGCAGATAAATTATTAGTCATAACTGTAGCAACAAAAGAAAGTGATGGATTCCATCGATTTATGCAGTCAGCCAAATACTTCAACTACACTGTGAAGGTATGGTACACCTTTCTTTCTGTATATACCAGCATGTGGTGTCTGCAGTACACTTTTTCCCAATGCCACCACCACAGTCTAAGCCACACAGAAGGATGAAATTTGGTTACATAATTACTGTTAGTTTATACAGTGATACATTCGATTCATACTCTGCCACTAAGACAATTTTTTAATATTTCTTAAGGCTGTGTATAAATATGTTCAATGAAACAATAGAAAACATGTTAAAGATATACACATACAGAATTTTTTGGAGGGTTGCGGACAAACACAATGTGCCTAAGATCTGACAATGGTAATAACTTTGGATAATTTCTTCTGTAATGGGTTGCCTGCTGTGGTGTGCTTCTTCTTTATAGAGAATTGGAAACATGACTGTGAAGTGGATACTGTTTCTTTCCATTATTGAGATTTGCTTTTCTTGCTTTGTTTTTGTTTGTTTGTTTTACAGCAATTTGGGAACACTGTTGAAGTTTAAAAGGGTTTTAGAAGACTTACCTTCAAAGGAACTTTCACTATCAAATGATCAGAGGAAACTTGGGGGATTAATAGAGCCATTAAACTGAGCTGTTGCAGGCCTGCTGTTTTGATTTACTTATTTTTATTTATTTATTTATTTATTTTTGGTAGAAAGACCTGTCAGCCAGGTCTTTTCTGCAAATAAGAGGAGAATAAGTAGTCATTTAGGTAGAAAATTAAAAAAAAAAGAAAGAAAGAAAGGAAGGAAGGAAAAGAGTACATTTGGGCAAAAACTGAACTATTCTCAAATGTAATGGAGTGAAAAGGTAGTTTCACCACATGGCCCCTGGAAGACGAGGTGGAGATGCTAGTACAGAATGTGAAAGAGCTCAACCTTGCTGGAAAAACAGATCTAGTGATATAGCATAAAAGAAGGGACGTTAGAAGTATGTTAGGATAGATAGATGAGACATACAGAAGTATGCATTGATAGGAGACCCTATGGGAAATAACAAGAAATTGGCATAAAATATGGCTGGATCCACTAGGGAAGTGTTCAGGGCTCAGACTGGACAGTAGCTGAATGTTTCTTGTGTGCCAGGCACCTTGTTAGGACCCGTACACGTGGTATGCTATTGGTTCATTGCATGAGCAAAGCAAGGTAGACTTATTTATGAGGGAGGACAATTGTTCGCTCTCCACTAGCCCCACTGAGTGACTCTGAAGTTTATGGTATGCTGCTTTTCTTCTTATTATGAAATCCAGTGGTTCCCAAAGTGTGGACTTCAAACCTCCAGCATCTCCACCACCTGGGCACTGCTTAAAAGGAACAGGCTCAGACCATACCACAGACCACTGAATCACAACTTCTGAGAATGATTCATTTTTCACAACCCTCCAGGTGATTCTGATGCTCACCAGAGCCTGGCACCCACGCAGAGCATGGCTCCGGTGTGCTTGGCTCAGTGTCACTATAGGATTGGCGACTCTAGAAGGACCTAACAATTCCACTAGGTTAGCCCCAGTTTTAATAGAGACACATAGGAGCTTGATTTTCTTGGCTGTCATTTATCTCCCAACCTTCAATACAGATACTGATGAAGGAGTAGTAAGAGATTTGAGGCTGAGGGTCCTGGAGCTTTTCCAGGCAGATTTATATTTGGTTCAGTGTCACAAAGTTGGAATTAATTTTGGGGTGGTGGCCATGTCTGTTATCATAACTGCTCAGGAGGCCGAGATCGAGAGGATCACAGTTGAGGTTAACCCAGGCAAACTGTTAGTAAGACCACATCTCATCCAATAAAAGCTGACCATGGTGTCATGTACCTTTCATCCAAGATACATGGGTAGGATAAACAGGAGGACCACTTTCCAGGCTAGCCCAGGCATACATGCAAGACCCTATTTGAAAAATACCTAAAGCAAAAGGAGCTGGTGATGTGGCTCAAGAGGTAGAGCACCTGCCTGGAAAAGGCAAGACCCTGAGTTCAACCCTAGAATCGCAAAAAGAAAAAAAAGTTGGAAATAATTGTACTTATTTTATAAATTTGTATTCTTGCCTTTGTATTCTGTATTTCTACTTTGAATTTCATGCCTGCCTAGATTCCCAGGACCCCTAGTACATCATTATTTTCATAACTTTAGACTTTGCTTTGATGAAACTGAGATATGAGGTGTGTGTGGTGTGGTGTGTGTGTGTGTGTGGGTGTGGGTGGTGTGTGTGTGGTGTGTGTGTGTGTGGTGTGTGTGGTGTGTGGTGTGTGTGTGGTGTGTGTGTGTGTGTGTGTGGGTGTGTGTGTGTGTGTGTGGTGTGTGTGTGTGTGTGGTGTGTGTGGTGTGTGGTGTGTGTGTGGTGTGTGTGTGTGTGGTGTGGTGTGTGTGTGTTGTGGTGTGTGTTGTGTGTGTGTGTGTGTGGTATTGTGTGTGTGTGGTGTGGTGTGTGTGTGTGGTGTGTGGTGTGTGTGTGTGGTGGTGTGTGGTGGTGTGGTGTGTGTGTTTGTGTGTGGTGTTGTGTGTGTGGTGTGTGTGTGTGTGGTGTGTGGGTGTGTGTTGTGTGTGTTGTGTGTGGTGTGTTGTGTGTGTGTGGTGTGTGTGTGGTGGTGTGGTGTGTGTGGTGGTTGGTGTGGTGGTGTGTGTGTGTGGTGTGGTGTGTGTGGTGTGTGGTGGTGTGGTGTGTGGTGTGTTTATGTGTGTGTGGTATGTGGTGTGTGTGTGGTGTGTGGTGTGTGTGTGGTGTGTGTGGTGTGTGGTGTGTGTGGTGTGGTGTGGTGTGTGTGTGTGTGGTGTGTGTGTGTGTGTGTGGTGTGTGTGTGTGTGTGTGGTGTGTGTGTATGTGGTGTGTGGTGTGTGGTGTGTTATGTGTGTGTGGTATGTGGTGCGTATGTAGTGTGTGTGGTGTGTGTGGTGTGTGTGTGTGTGGTGTGGGTGTGGTGTGTGGTGGTGTGGTGTGGTGTGTGTGTGTGTGGTGTGTGTGTTGTGGTGTGTGTGTGTGGTGTGTTATGTGTGTGTGGTATGTGGTGCGTATGTAGTGTGTATGTGTGTGGTGTGTGGTGGTGTGGTGTGGTGTGTGTGTGTGTGTGTGGTGTGTGTATGTGTGTGTGTGTGTGGTGTGTGTGTGTGTGTGGTGTGTGTGTGGTGTTTGGTTTGTGTGTGGTGTGGTGTGTGTGGTGTATGTGTTGTGTGGTGTGTGTGTGTGTGGTGTGTGTGTGTGTGGTGTGTGTGTGGTGTGTGTGTGGTGGTGTGTGTGTATGTGGTGTGTGGTGTGTGGTGTGTTATGTGTGTGTGTGTGTGGTGTGTGTGGTGTGTGTGTGGTGTGTGTATGTGTGGTGTGTGTGTGTGTGTGTGTGTGTATGTGGTGTGTGGTTGTGGTGGTGTGTTATGTGTGTGTGTGTGTGGTGTGTGTGTGTGGTGTGTGTGGTGTGTGTGTGTGGTGTGTGTGTGTGTGTGGTGTGTGTGGTGTGGTGTGTGTGTGTGGTGTGTGTGTGTGTGGTGTGTGTGTGTGTGGTTGTGTGGTGTGTGTGGTGGTGTGTTATGTGTGTGTGGTGTGGTGTGTGTGTGTGTGGTGTGGTGTATGGTGTGTGTGTGTGTGGTGTGTGTGTGGTATGTGGTGTGGTGTGTTATGTGTGTGTGGTGTGTGGTGTGTGTGGTGTGGTGTGTGTGGTATGTGGTGTGTGGTGGTGGTGTGTGTGGTGTGGTGTGTGTGGTGTGTGTGGTGTGTTATGTTGTGTGGTGTGTGGTGTGTGTGGTGTGTTGTGTGTGTGGGTGTGTGGTTGTGTGTGTGTGTGGTGTGTGTGTGTGTGGTGTGGTGTGTGTGGTTGTGTGTGTGGTTGTGGTGTGGTGGTGGTGTGTGTGTGTGTATAGGCTGGTGGTTTTCGGCTCTTGGGGGCCCGGTGTGTCAACCATGCATAACAGTGTGTGGCAGTGGCTGAGGTTGAGACAAATAGTGAAGAGAAAGGGACCAGGTTAGCTCAAAGTAACTGTGTTTAGGCCATTTCTTGCACTGATAATTTTTATTAAGCTTTTGAGAATGGTTGAAGTTAAGATTTAACGTAAAGAAAGTGACATTTTGCTTAATGTCCCCTGCCTTTCCGTGAGCATCCTTTGGTTCAGTAGGGAAATCTCATAAGGGCTCAGTCTGGGATTTCAGGAGGTTCATGGGATTTCCAGTGTGGATCTTACAGATGTCTGGCTAGACTGGAAAAGTGAGTGAAGTTTATTCATTTTCTTTCTCATTTTATTCTGATAACAGGAATAACATAAAACATAAGAAATACTTTCTGTCCACTGCATGGATTAGATCCAACTTTTGAAATTATAAAAATGGGAATGGCATTTTTGGGTTGGATAGTGTTAGAGGATTAGACCTTGCTAGGCATTATTTTAAATTTCTTAGCGTTATGATTTAAGGCACTGGGAAAAGAGGGTTTATGGTGCAGTACTGTACAGGTTGCTGATGACTTTTATGGTACTATTATAATTTAATTTTTCTCAGGGTTGAAATGTTGATTTCATTTATAGGTCATTGGTCAAGGGGAGGAGTGGAGAGGTGGTGATGGAATGAATAGTATTGGAGGGGGCCAAAAAAGTGAGATTAATGAAAGAAATATCATGGAACAGTATGCCAGTCAGAAGAATCTGATCATCTTGTTTACTGACTGGTAAGAAAATAGCCTGTGGATTTCCAGTTTCTTTTGAATTGTTTTGTAAAGAGTTGAAATTATAGCCATGGATTATATATTATATTACTAACTAGGAATCATGTTTATTAGCATAAATTGGTTATACAAAGGGGTTTCATTTTGGTAACTCCATACATCTCATATGTACCTTTGATCAAATTTACTTCCTATCTTTAACTTTCTTTAACCTCCTTCTACCTCTCCCCTTTTAAAAGAAATAATTATTTTAAATGTAGATTTACCCATAGTTATAAAAATCATGGCCTGAGATAATCATGTACTGTGGTCACCATTGATGAGTTTACTATAAACAGCAATTGAGAAACATGGCATAAGATTTTTTGTGAAATTCATGCTTTAATCTTGAGTTAAAGATGAACTAAAGATCATGTTGTACTGTTCTATTGAGAAGGAAAACCCAACAGATTCTGGTTAAACAGAAAGAAATGGATCACATAAGATTATAAGTAGAAGTGAGATATCAGAAGGCCTGTGCTGTTAAGGAAGAAGAACCTTTCCAATGCATAATACCTTTTTACTTATTTACTTTGGTGCTAAGGCTCGAACCAAAAACCTTCCAGATACAAAGCATGTACCCTACCGCTGAGCTATCCCCAGTCCATACTATGCCACTATCCTCATTGATTTGAATATCCAATATCCTCTCTTAATGTCTTACATTTTGAAAACTAACATCATGTTCTCATGACTCATAGTGATTACTGAACTTTCTTTCTTTGTATCTTCTTTTTTCTTTTTATATTTTTTGGTCACTGATTGTTCATTTTAAATCCCTTGAATTTTCTTAACACAGAAAAGTGTACTTACATCTTTCCTTTGATTTGAAAATGCAAAGCAAACATTATTTGCAAATGAAATGGTTTAAAGGATAAAAGGAGAGTAAAAAGTACTGTTTTTAGGCAAGAGTGCAAACAAGAAAGACATCAATTTGAGAATAATGAGTCCCAAGTGCCATCAACACTTAAAAGCTTCAAAGAATCCATAAAGCTTGCATCTTTAGAATGTCCCTAAAGTCTCTTAGCCCAAAAACATGGGTTTGTGTATATCTTTTTTGCATGATGAATTTGATATGACAGGTGTTAACTTGTACTGGGATATGTCTACATAATCTCTATCTTTTATCTATTGATCTATCATCATATCTGTCCTTCTATCTATCCTAATTTATCAATCAATCTATCTTCCCTAGGAATAAAAGGATATGGACTCAACTTTATAAATAATTACTGAGACTCAATGCATACATATTTGTTTTAAAAATTAGCATGGATTTCCAGTAACACATCAGTAAACATTAAACTTCCCACATGTACGTTTGGGATTTTGACTATAGAGAAAGATAACTTTCCCTTTGTAAAAGCGACCCATATCTGAAACCCAAAAACGATGTTTAGGTTTAGGAAGGACTGCTTGTTCCCCTTCATTCCTTACCCACCTCCACCCCACTCTCCTTCCCTCCTACCTGAGATTTAGCTTTGGGGGAACCTGGGTAGTGTGGTGGGGTTTTCTAATGAGGAGGGGATACTGGTGAAGATACTCTGAAGCCAGTGGAAAATTGGGTTGATTTATTCCAAATTAATATTTAAGAGCCGGCCTTTTCAAGAAAAAGCAGTAAATTTTAATGGAAGGCCCCTGCTGTCATTCAGGGGCTGTTTTAGCCCAGCTCAGAGCCGTACCTTTGTCTACATCAGGCGTCCAATGCTTGTCTGCACCCTGCTAATGCTTCATCATCCACCATTGTCTGTCCGTCAACCTGGGGACCACGAGGAGAGGCCCACGTGGTGGAGGCCAGGGAAGTGATCTGATGCCAACAGTGCAGCTGCTTTTCCTCTTATTTACTTGTGAACAAAAACTTCCTTGAAAACACGATGGATGTAGTTGAAAATTATAGGTAAATTAGGGCCCAGGAGAAATAAATTAGTCTCTGAAAAATTATTTGAAATGCAGTGTCTATTTTAGAACAAAAATTTATAAGCTTTTAATTAACTTACCTCCTGCCAAAAGCCAGAATAAGGAATTTATTCACTTCAACAAAGGAAACCATTTTCCTATTTCTTACATGATTTTTAAGGGGACAATTCAACTGTAATAATTAGTTTTATGGAAATATAGGCAAACTGATATATATTTTATCTATATAGTTATATATATAACATTAATTATTCATGGTTTAGATAGGCTCTTTAAAAACAATTTTAATGAGAGGTAATTTATATAAGCACAGATATACAGTTGTTTTGCCTATAGAATACAGTGAATTTTAGTACATTTGGGAGTTGTGCATTTTGGTTGTCACAGCATTCAACTTTAGAATATTTCTGATGCCTTCTTAAGACCACTTAAAGCCCCATTTATAGATTGTTGACTAATTAACTTAAAAACAAGTTTGTAATGTTGCTTCAAACGGAATGTGTATTCTGAAACACACTTTTAGATGAACGTTTTTAAACTATAAGCTGTATCTTTTAAATATACTCTGTAGCATAAGATTTATCATTTAATTTAGATACAAATTTCTTTCTCAAAAGAAAAATGGAAACCAAAGATGTCCACATGAGAAAGTGCTGCCAGTATTTTTTAAAAAGTTATTTCATAATGCATAGCATGTGTGTGGTGCATGTCTTTGCAATAATGTGACTTTGTAAGCTTTGATAATCTCCATTGGATTAGAACAACTATCAATTTTTTAAATATGAATTTGACAGTCTTTTTGAATCTCAAATTATAGTTTTTCTGTTATTTTTGAAATTCTTGCTGTTAGCATATGCACGCTGTGATGTTTACATACATGTTTGCACTGTATCTCAAGTTAGATTCACTCTCTCATGGTGCTCCTTCAGATTTGGTAGTTTTTACAGGACAAGTACAGTGGTTCTTTGAAATGAGCAATGAAAATTTGGGCCAAACACTTGAAGTTGGTAGCTGCAGATTCAGTTGTGGAAGAAGTGATTCCATTAATGATTTCATAATAGACCTTAGTCAAGTTGAATAAGCATTTTGAGTTTTATAATAAGAAACTTTGCATTGCTTTTAGAATTATGTTATTAAGCATTTCTTTTACTTTGTCACATTGAAGACAGATCATCATACTGAATTATCCTATGGTGGTCAGTGTGTTTTTCTTTTATAAGGGACAATATGTAAAACAAAATGTAACAAAAGGCCTGGGTCTTTGGTAGTAAGTTTGATACATATTATACCCTCACATAACTTTTACTGTGCTGTATACAGTAGAATACAAACCACAGCATCCCAGATACTAAAATGAGCATATGGTGGAAGTCATTTTCCAAATTTTTTGACTACCAGATGAAGTCATTTAAGAAGAATTTTTGGCTATTCACTTTCTTTTCTTTACACATAAGAAAATTTCTTTAAACTTAAGAAAATTACTTTTATTTAGAAATAAAGGGTACAATTATCTGAATAGGCATTTGAACAGAGCAGAATTTTGAAGTACACACTAGTAGCATGAATACTTGAAGGCATGAATTTAATGATGGTTATTGGCATTATTAACAAAATGAGTGTTTCATGATGAATATCTGCTGAAAGATTTTGATATGTACAAGCTAAGCATTATTGACGTATCTGTTGAAATATGATTATGCTATTGAGATAGATAAAAGAATTAACAGCAATAAGGAGACCAAAATTAAAAACAAACAGCTAGAATGGGAGTTGAGGCTACACTGCAAAAGCTGATGTGTACAATTAAAATGGATATGCAGTGATGTCATTATTGCAGAGTTTCTAGGTGGCAATGGCCTTGGAGGTTGGTCCAAGATAAATAAACACTGGCTAAAATGGAAGAACAATTTAATTCCATAAATCCCTACTTTCCCCAGATGTGCCTTATTATTTTGACTGTTTATGGCTGAATTTGTTTTTGTGTCCACACAGTGAAACTGGACTGTGCCTAATTTACATATTTGCAGGGCAAAATAGCAAGTAATTGAATATGGGTTGACTGTGAATTGATCACAGGAGAAACAGATCTTGCAAGAGGCAGAAATACGGTGAATGATTTGAAATTAGTTTTCAAGATTGTTTTTCTGTGATTATTTGGAGATTATAGGATGAATTCTAAAGGCAGAAAACCTTCCAGATTTTCAAATTTCAGAGGATAGAAATGATTAAAAAATTAAATTTCGATTACAAACTATGAATGTGATGCTTTCACTTCTGATCTTATATCAACGAATGTTTGTTTCTTTTGGCTTCTCACTGAACCTCATTCTACCCAGAAAGTGAGATCACCAAGCAGAATTTCACTGCGTGTTTTAGTGTGCTTGTTTTGCACACGAACTATGATCCAGACATTGACTTAACATAGAAAAAGGTATAAACAGATCCCACACTCAAGGAATTCTCATTTGTGTCATACGAATTCTGCAAACAAAACTGAATAAACCCAATGTAGAAGAAAAATCATGTCTTAAAAAATGTGAACATTGGTGTAATCTCTTTATAATCATTGACTTTTAGAAATGCAGAGGTTCTATTTCATGGCATCCTTTGCTAATTGTGAAAAATCACACTTCTCCGATTTTGTTGTTATTGTTATGGAAGTATATAACTTGTATTTATTATTCTGTAGTCCACTTCCTTGTTTGTATTTGTTTTATACCTCCTAATTTAGATTATAAACTCAGTATGCCTGCCTTCTATATTGTCTTACATACTTTATACAGAAGATATTGAAAATTTCCTGGAAGGAAAGCTTTTTAAGTACTATGTGTGTAATTTGAACTTCCAGGCAGACTTACTCGATGTACTCCTCCTTCCTGGCAGCAGTGACAGTTGAAGTGCACAGACACAAGGTACCTGCTTGTTAGGCATGGACAGCATTTCATTGTGACAGTATGAAAGAAATCCCAAACACGCCCCACTTCCTTGTTTCTGTATTGTTTCATTCTTTCTTTTTTGAAAGGAAGCTTGAACTCATTAGCTGTCACTTAATTAGATATAGTGCCCCATCTTCTGGTTCCTTTAGCATGTGTTCAGGAACTAGGTAAGAAATGAATGATTTTTTCATTTTTCCAATTGTCTAATGTTCCAATTAGTATTTACTGAGGTGTAGATGAGGTAAGGTTAGTGGGCGTCAGAGTGAGGAGGAAGCCTATGACATAGAGGTGGTTGTGGTGATCATATATGTCTAGATTGTCTTATGTGTGACTGTTTCATCTAACTGTCCTATGTATTTATGTATTCCCAAACTGGATTGCCTACTTCTTGAATTTGGCACTTGTTAGTAAACATGAATTAAGCATTGATTTTGTACAATCTAAGGTACTAGCTGCTGTGTGGCTGGATCCAGGGGCTGAATAGGGCAGATATGCTTTTCTCTTAAGAGCTTCATCTGTATTGGACCTATATCATAACAAATGTATGAGATTTTAAAGAGATTTATTTCTCCATCAACTCAGTGAAGACTTAACTGTGGTGGAGGGTGTAAATTCAAGTATGATGTATTTGATATATTGTAAGAACTTTTGTAAATGCCACATGTACCTCCCATCCAGCACAACAGTAAAAATAAATAAATAAATGAAATCTGGTGACCTCCTGTACTTATTGTGCCCTAAATATATATAAGATATGAAAATCCTTAATGAATTAGAGATAAATTTCACTACTGCTTTAAAACTAGAGGAAAATATTCATTTAATTTATCATTTCATTTTACAAATAAAGATATTTATGTAAAAACAGTAGCTGGCCTCTGGAGTAAGTAGCTTGTAGTGTTTGCCTCTGTTCTTTCCCAGGCTGCCCCTCATACAAGGTATCATTCCAACAGTTGGGTCACTTGGTGGGGAAGAAATGACCTTTCGGCTAGTTTTTTGTCTTCATTGACTCCTGCATCTAGCCGTCCTCAACAAAGAGTTTTTACCCAGCAAATGAAATTCCATACCATTTGAGAAAAATCTACCAAGTGATATTTGGCATTTAAAATAGTCCCTATTTTATATCAAGTATTTGTGCAGTCATTTTCCATTGTGATTTTATTACTTGTTCTGAATGTTCACAGGAGTGGGTGATTTCAACTGGTTATTGTGTATGTGTGTGTGTTTGTGTGTGCGGCAGATGTTAAACAGTGGTTCCAAAGAATGAGTTTGTGGTGTTATTTGTCTCTGGAGTGCAGACTTGTATTTCAGGTGGATATGTGGCAGGTTGTAGTAGCACTTCCGTACTTTGCTTTCATTACACTTTATTTCAACTTATGATTTGGATGATTAGAATTTTTGTTTAAGTTTATGCTTGTGATGATGAAGAATTGGGGCAGAATAACAAATAAGGTCAGAGAAGATTTCTGTTTTCTTTTCTGGCTCCTCGGAAGCTTCTGAATCTTGTTGAAACTTGGTACGGTTCATTCATTCATTCATTCATTCACTCATTTGTTCAATAAACATATATTGACCGTCTTCAAAATACAAGGCTCTAAGAATATACACATGAGTAAAGACAAGACGGTAGTATGTGGGAGGAACATGCATTTCCTTCCCCCTAAGGGACAGAGTCATGAAGAGCAGACTGTCAAATGTTTGGTGAATGAAGAGAGGAGAAGAGCTGTGGGACCTAAGAGGAATCCAACAGTGTTTTTCAGTAGCATTGGTCTGAGAGATTTGTACATTGGCCCTTGAAGGTGGATGGCTTAGGCTCAACTGGAAAATGGGCTAAATGGAGGTGACATCATGAGGAAAGTCATGATGATATATCAGATAATTCAGTTTGGTTTCAGAACAGGATATTTTATGGAAAAGTATTAATGTGCCACTGATTCCTCTAGATTTTATTTTATAGGCTAGGGATCCATAAACTGTGGTCTGCCCTTTGCTTACTTTTGCAAATTTTATGCTCAGCTCTGCTCACTTGTTTATACATTGTCTGGACTGCTCTGCACCACAGTGGCAGAAGTGAGTCATTTGACAGAGACCATACGGCTTTCAAAGCCCGTACTATCTTCAGTCAAAGGCCAGAGTAAATATTTGTTGACTTCTGCTTCAGGACATAGTTGGAAACTGCTGATTGGGTCTGAGCAGTGGCACTTTCAGGAGAGTTCTTCAGACAGTCTGAACTGGAGGTGGAGAGGAGATGGGAGCATGGAGGCCTGTAGGAGTTTTGAGTCAGTCTCAGCAATGTCTTCTAGTGAGGTTGGAGAGGACCTGAATATTAAACAGACTCAGTAGATGCAATTGGTAGGATTTGGCAAAAGATATGATGAGCAAGGCCATGGGGAGGGAGGAGTCAAGGCTGAATGAAAAATGTTCCATCTGGTGACTGGGTGGTTGATGGTATGACAGAAACCAGGCAAACAGAAGGACAAACACTCGTCAAAGTCTTAGAGACCTGTTGGAGATAGACCGCTGACATGTCTAGGTGGAATCTTGTGTTTTTTGCAGGACTTAGGAATATTTACCATAGTTAGATGTGCAAAGTTTTATTTTATTCTCCATATTTAAAATGTCTGAGTATCTTTGATAATTATTTTTATAAGCTTTGTGCATTCTTTTTTAAAATTGGCCATTTGAGTTTTTGTGGCCCAAATAATTTTAAGTAGAAAAACTTTCTTGCCTTTTGTGAAGTTTTCAATAGGTTCAAAGAACTTTTCTGAAGAAGTCAAACACAGAAATAAGAATGCTACTAGAATGAAATAGGAAATGTTTCAACAACACTACATTTAAACTCAGTTAAATTTCTTAATTATGGAATATTTCCTTTTCCCTTAAAATAATTGCATTTTTAAAATGTAATACATGCTTATAAAACATTAAATTATCCAAATAAATATTGCCACAATTCTTCCTTTGCAAGTTGCTAATCTTATTAATAGTTTGAGAGATACTGTGAATATGTCTGTAACTTTTATTATAGTTCCAAAGGTAGAACACATTCACTTTCCAAAATTGCGTTTGTAACTTTGTGTGTGTGTTTGGGCAGGGGAGATAAAGATCCATCCAGTCAGATTAATTCAGTGTTTTACATAAACAGGTGTGGAAAAGTTGGTTTCAAGTTTTACTCAGAACATTTTTATATGTATGTTTCTTGCTAAAAAATATTTTTAAAGCTTACAGATAGTAAAATTTAAAAGTAAACCATCCTCTGCCTTCCCCTTCAAACCAGTCCTTGTAGTAAATAATAATCTTACTTTTTGCTAACTTGCTGAGTGCTTACAATGTACCAGTATTGTTAGTTGTTTTGTTTTTTAATGGCTTCTTGATGACATAGAGACTGCTTACATTTTACAAAGAAACTTGTATGAGGTTACTCTGATAACCTTGAGGTCTGGGATCAGAAACCCAAGTAGCAGACTTTTTAAGTTGTAGGCTGTAACTGACTATGATTCTGCTATTAATAGTGTTCACAGTTTCTAGCTCCTCGATCCTGTTAAAAAAAATCAAAACCATGTTCCAGTAGCTTGTTTTTGCTTATCTGTCATCCATCTGTTATCTCTCTCTCTCATTTGTTTGTCTAACCATCTATTCATCGATAGATATCTGAATTTTGAAGTGCTGTTTTCCATTACTGAAATAAAAATAAATGATAAAACCTTAATCTTGTAGGCAATTTGAAATTAAAAGAAATAATCTCTCTGTTTCCAACATTATCTTTACCATTATTTAAAAAAAATATTTTTGCAAAATTACAACATTTCACTGTACATTCTCAACATTTGAGTCCTCCTTTTTTTCCTCAAGAGTCAGAGTGGATGGTGTCATGAGTCATATGTATATCTATAGGATTTTTCCAAACTCTGGTTCACCATGAAGAGGAAAGAAAGACAGCAAACACAGCATTTACACTCATGTCTTTATTTTAATAGTGAAAGTCTTCAAACATAACCTGGGCACATGGCCGTCCTGCTTAGAAAGCATTGTGCAACTAAATGTGGCCACATGACCAATTCTGTCCAACAGAGTTGAGTGTGACAGCACAGCAGTGTATCCGGGGCTATGGTTTAGGAAGCTGTGTGCCGAGCTCAGAACTCCTGTGCTCTTAATGCTTGCCACCTAGGATGCGTCATTACATCATTGCCTGGGAACATTTGGCATTAAAAGTACACTTAAAGGTGAAAGACGATGCAAAAGAATTTGAGATTATAATGAGTAGAGAAGTTTTTGTAGAGTGTAAGTGTTTCAGATTGTGGCTTTTACACTTAAAAATTTTGCTAAGACATTGTAAACCTGTGAATCAACCAGGAAAAATATTAAGTCCAGAAGAATCAATGAAACTGGGAATATTAAATTACATTATCAGTTTTTATAGTTTTCAAATTTATTGAGCTTTAAAATGGTTCCCTTGTCTGAACCCATTGATTGAAAAATTTCATATTATGTAATAATTCAAATGCTAAATGTATATTGATGACACTTGCTGGTGAAGCATTTATCAAAGATAGTGAATTCCTTAGAAATGTTAGTAGATTGGTAGGTACAAATTGAATTGGAGGATTAGACAGTATGACAGCAACTTTTGTAAATGATTATGTCTGTATTATTAATTTATAAGACAGGTAACTGAATTTTCTAACATTTCAATACTGCCTTAGAATTTTTATTTCAGAGTTAAATGGTTATTGAAAAACTGTTAAGAGCATCTCTACAAAAACCATCTTATATTTGAACTTCAGTCGCTAATGTATAGCAAACACTAAAAATCGATACAATTCCTCTAATTTAAGTTGAGGGAAAATTACTTCATGTGCTCTGTAAATAGTTGTTATCAATCCAGTGTTGAGTTCCAAGTTCTGGTTTCTGTGAGACTCCTTTTCTTGGTTTAACGTGTCTAAATTCTGAAGCATGCATTTAAAAACTTGTCTTTTCCTTCATTAAACAGTTTTGATGTCATATTTGCTGGTGGTCCAGAAGAAATTCTCAAAAAGTTCCTAAAGTCAAACCATAAAGTCGTCTTTGCAGCGGATGGAATTTTGTGGCCTGACAAGAAGCTGGCAGACAAGTATCCCATTGTGCACATTGGAAAACGCTACCTGAACTCGGGAGGTGGGTATGACTTGGGCAGGAGAGCCCAGCCCAAGTCCTGGGAACTATAAGTACCCATGAAACAGCCTGTGTTGTCCTAACTGTGGACATGGAGTTTTTAATGCCATTATCTAATTATCTACTACAAAAATATCAGTAGAACCTAGAGAAACATTTTAGACTTGATAACGGATTCCTCACACATTTATGTCCGTCAGGCCATGTTCCTGATAGCACTAGTCCGAGGAGCTGTAATAATTTGCACTTTATAAGTGAGAAAATTCAATTTGACTATATCTAAGTGCCTTCTAGTGGTTTAAATTTGTTCAAGGAAAAATAGCACAGATTGAGAATTTTCTGGGTACAGAATGTTAAGTTTATTATGTTTACTTGGGAAAAAGTCCTTTTTTTCTTCTTCTTTTTTCATTTATTCATATGTGCATACATTGTTGGGACCATTTGAAAAAGTCCATTTTGAATCTATTAGCATCTATGTTGTACAAATAGGCATTGAAACCAGCAGGCAGAATATTGTACATTAAATCTCTGTGTATACTAAAATATTGCATCATCTGTGCAGCCATGGATTAAAAATACTCCCCTTAAAAATAAAATAACATTTGAACATGGCTATTATTATGGTTCTACCATGTGTTTCCCTTGGACAAAGTAAACATGGCCAGAAGTCATAACCAAATAGAATGAAGGACACGTTAGAGACAAGTTGCCTGCACTTGCCAGCCACATCGGGAAGGAGACTGGACACAACATAAACGTAATTGGTTTGGGTTAATTAAAGTAAATGGTGGTTGAGGCTGTGGCATATCTGGGTCGCAGGCATTGCTAGCCCTTTATGGTAACAAGGCTTTTTATGTAATTTTTCTGTGATGCCTCAGGATTCTGTCTTTGACCCACACTTTATTTCAGAACCTGTTCCCACAGTTGTGCCTTGGGACTGGCACACACAGGACTGTCCACACATGGACTTCTGAAACCTTAAGTTCCAGCTTTCGCTGTTTTTGTTGTGTTCTTCTTATGTCTCCATCTCAGTAAAACTATAGTTTATGTGTCTGGGAACTCGAGACTATTTTATTTCTTACCAACCAATCCACCACTTTTGGATTGTACTTCCATTTCAAGTCAGATTCTCAGGCTTGTCACATTAGTCCTTGTCCTCACAGGCTAGCTGGTCTTTCTCCTTTGGATTTCCAACTTGTGGAATCTGTCAAAGCCTCTCCCTAGGAGGGTGTCCACCATCACTCCTCTAGACTGGCTCTGCTTCCATGTCATGACTTTTGGTTACAATACATGGCTAATGTTGCAATGTATTCCAAGTCCTATTGGTTAGTGCAAATCCCAGGGTACTTATTTATTTATTTAATAAATGGGGTTTGACCTCAGGGTCTTGCTTGCTGAACAAACACTCCACCATTTGAGCCAAGCCCCCTGCTCTTTTTACTTTACTTATTTTTCTGATAGGATCTCACACTTTTTGCCTAGGCTGGCCTTGGGATGTGATCTCTCTGCGTATGTCTCCTGAGTATCTGGGATTACAGATGTGTATCACTACACCCAGCCTGCTTTTGAGATAGAATCTCAATAACTTTTTACCTGGCTTGGCCTTAGACCATAATCCTCCTGATTTCTGCCTTCTGAGCAGCTGGAATAGTAGGCAAGAATCACTGCACTCAGTCCTAGAACACAGTAGTTTTTGTGGTGGTGGTACTGGGGATTGAATTCTGGGCCTGTGCTTGCCAGGCAGGTATTATTTTACCACTTGAGCGGTACCCCCACCACTTTTTGCTTCAGGTGCTTTTCAAACAGGGTTTCTGGCTTTTATGTCCATGTCAACCAGGACCACAATCCTTATTTATGGTTCCTGGGATGACAGGCGCACAGACTGCCCAGCTGTTTTGTTGCGATGAGGTCTCCTGAGCATTTTGCCCAGGCTGGCCTCAAACTATAATCCTCCTGATCTCCACCTCCTTCTAAAACAGTTTTTTTTTTTTTTTTCTTTTTAGAACTCTGTAGCTATGGAACTCTGGGGGCAGGCTTTATTTTATATTTATTAATTTTTTACCAAAATGTTCTATAGAATGAAATCCCATTGTGTAAGTTCATCTAGATTGTGATATATCTATTCAGGTGGCTAAATTTCAGATGGACTCACTCACAGGGCTGTGGACACAGCAAAAAAATCAGCAAGTGTGTGTCATGGTGAATCAGTTTAATAAAGAAAAAGCATTTTTAAGTGGGACAGTGATTGTACAAAGATATACTTTCTGTAGGTAAAATTATTAGCTGGTAGAAAGCACACAGTCAAAAAAAGTTTGTGTCATTTTGTGAATCACATGTTAAGAGTTATTTAAGAGACAGGAGTTATGATTTAGTAAAATTGTATCATTTAGATTTTCAAAATAGTTTTCAAGAGAAAACTATAAATCATATAAATATGTACTATATATTTATTTGTAATGAAATACATGCAATTGCTTTTCATTTATTTGGAGACATTTGGATATATAAAATGTGAAAAAAACATAGTTTTTGAAAAATAGTAATAAACCATTGAAAAATATGTGTCACTACTTAGTATATTTTTTCTCATGGAAGATTATTCATAAGAATTAAGAGAAATTATCCTTCAGTGTTTTAAGATTTCTTAATTTGGCAAGAATAACAAAAAATGATCAACCAGTGCTTGGTTTTATCATATTTTCATTTTGTCTTGTTTTCTCTAGGTAACAGTAATATTCCTGGAACTGTTTCTTTTAATTCTTTCATTCCTATGAAGAAATTTTAATTTTGAAGGTAAAAAATGAGGTTCTCTTTCAGTTCACAGAAGTAACATGAGTGCCTCCATATATGTATCAGAGGTCAATGAAACCTCGCAGGTTGGCTGCCTTTCTGACATTCAAGGGAAGGCTCAAGTGGGTGAAAGGATCCTGTTGTCTCTGTTTTTTATAGACAAATGTTATTGGCAGGTTTACTGCTTTTGCTCCAAGTCCAAAAGGAACACTCCAATTTTAGACTTCCTTTTTCCAGACTATGACACACAAAACCTAGCCAGAAAATGTTTTAGCAGGCACAGTAATGACTGTTTCAAGTAATGGAAAAATTCCCCCAAATGTTTTAGATATAAAATTTCTTTGAGATTTTATTTTTCAAGTCAATGACAAGTCCAACATTCTTGTGATTACATTAGCATCTCTGGCTCTGGTACAAAAACCAGAGATTGTCTTCTTTCAGAAACAGTGACTCCTTTGCTAAGGATCCAAGAAGAGCGTTTTAGAAGGTCAGACAGAAAATTCTCCTGTCTTATTTCTGTTCTCTCCCTTAGCAACCTTGGAAAACATCAGCTTCCCTTAGCTTTAGAAGTTCATTCATTTAAAAAGAGTCTTTTGTTATTCCATTTTGTAGGGTAGTACACAGTATGGCAGCTTATAAATCAAAGGCACTCATTAACTCATTTTTCTTTCATGGTGAGCCGTGAGCTTCCAACTTAGGGCTTCCTCTCCTGGCTGTACTAGTTGGTGTTGGTGCAGTTGTTCAGTTGGAACTAACATAGACACCACTTTGGGTCTTTGAACACTCAATTCCCTGCTGGATTTCTGTGTTCTAGGATTTATGGGCTACGCTCCATACATCAACCGAATGGTTCAGCTGTGGAATCTTCAGGATAACGATGACGATCAACTCTTTTACACTAAAATTTACATTGATCCAGTGAAAAGGGTCAGTAATAGCCTACCATCTCTTTGTGTTATATTGTTTTAGTTGCTTTGTTCTGCACATTTTGTTAATATGGTGCGGTCAGAAACAAAGGATTGTATTGACAATTTTAGTGGCAGTTGGAAAACTGAACTGCAAAATGTGGTTGTCAATATTATTTTTAAATAATACAAGTCAGTGAAACTTATGGTGAGGAGGTAGGATTGGTGTCTCTCTCCTGAACGTGATGTCTCTTCTTGGTGGGTAAGTTGGCAGCCTTGCCGAACTTGGATGGGTCAGGGAGAGGAAAAGTAAAGACACAAGGTCCTGCTCTTTCTTTATCAAAACACATGGAAACAGTTTGATAGAGAAAAGAAATGACTGCCTCACCCTGGCATTGCAGCTCCACCTCCTCTGGGTCCTCAGTTCTAGTGCTCCCTCACAATATCAAAATGAGTCACATCATCAAACCTTTTGAATATGGATTGAAAGAGACAACAATGAAGTCCTAAAGACTCTAGGGAGTGATTTTTGTCAGATTTTGGAACAGATAACTGTTGTTTATTAAGATGCAATGTTTTAGAACTAACACCTTTTTGACACTTAGGAGTGGTATATGAATAAGGCTGGTTAAAAAATTTTAAACTGACCTATAACATCATTGAAGACAGGGCCTCCCTGTGAGGGGAACTTGGAGATTAGAGGTTCCTTGGGAGCCACTGACACAGAAACCCTAATCTGTGTCCAAACGTTTGGTGGCCCATGGAGGATGGAGCCTGTGGGTTTATTTAGTAGGCCTGATGTGATCCTGTCGTGGAATGCCATGGACGTTTATAGCTGATTTGATGGTTTAGAATTTTCAAGATCATGAAGCAATAATGTCATAATGAAATATCAAAATGATTAGAAGCTGAGAGCCCATGTGGTTACGTGTAGATAGACCGTATGCCTATTATTAATGAGGTTATTGAAGCTGTCACAAATAGGTCAAAATAGCACGAGCTATTAGGATGGTTTTCTGGCATCAAAAAGTTTAGGGATTTGCTACCCCGCTGCTATCCCTTAGGTCCCGTTTTCAGTGTGACCTCCTTAGCCATGATGAGGACTGCCTTCACATTCATATTCCATGCAGCTAAAGGCAGAAATGCAAACACTGAGATCCCTGTCACTTCCATCAGCTTTCTTTACATGACGTTTTGAGAAGTCTCACAAAATTCTTTCTCATTTTTTTTTTTTTTGAACAAGAACTATTGTGTGACCACACAAAACAAATAAAGAACTTTGGCTCTTTATTTTAAGCATGTGGGCCATATTGCAAAACTGAGTTCAGTTATTACAAGGGGATAAGTGCTGACAAAAATCAGTTTTCTGTAAGTCTTAAAAAGTTCCCAAAGGCAATTTAAATGAAATTTTGGAGAAAAGTAATCTCTAATTGAAGAATGCTTCATTACATTTAAATAACAAAATAATAAATTTATATGTTTTCTGTATGTCATGGATACAGTTCTAAAATTTCTTGAATTATATATTCTGGGAAACATAAGATTTGTTTTAAATGTGTTTTGCAATGAATTGTACCTACAACTGTTTCTGCCATGGCTAAATATTTCAGTTGTCTATGTATTTTTGTTTAAACACTTAACACAAGAATTTTAAGTGATAAATTCCCCCAAAGAACAAATTATATTACTGTGATAGTATTATCTGCTGTTTTTGTTGTCTTTTTCAATATCATCTCTTTTCTTTCTTTTTAGGAAACTTTTAACATCACATTGGATCACAAATGCAAAATTTTCCAGCCCTTAAATGGAGCTATAGGTATACTTTCTACATATTGGGTTATATTTTCTTTGTCATACCCATTTTGGAACTGTATCTAAAGTTTACAGTGTATATACTGCAAAATAGTGGACTTGAACTTAGCTTGATATATTCAGTTAAAGTCATATCCTAAGACCTTTGTGAAAAAGATAAGCTTCTGACCTTGGTAATGTAAAATTTAATCTCTTACCATTTGGAGATAATTTTAGATGTATTTATGAATCACCTACATTATTATTACACATTTTTCTGTTTAAGTTCTTCGCATTGGGAATTAGCTGGAAGTATTAGAGTAGCTCCTGTAGACACAGCTGAGATGTAATTGGTGAGAATTACACAGGTAGACTTGGAGTGTGTGTGTGTGTGCATACATGCTCAAGTGCACACTGGCACAGGTGCACATGCATGTGTGCCTGTATTTTCCTAGAGATGCACACATATATCTCAATAAAAATACACTAGCATAGTTAAAATGATTAGTATATTAAAATCAAGATACCTCCATTCATGACACTTTATGAACTAAAACTGTATCTTCAATGCAGTTCCTCAAGTGAGCTCTCACAGTGAACTGTTTTCAGGATGAAGGCATTTAGTTTGCAGTGCTTAGGGAGTGCGAAGCAAAGAACTTATAAACGAAAACCTGCTTCTGTCCCTCTCTGTCTTATGAATTTTTGGATTATTGTAGCAGGCCCTGCTTTTGAGAACTGGAAACATTTATCAATGGTCAGTTAGTTATGGAAACCTGGCTGAAGCCTGACCATGTTCTGTTGGCCACACATTCCGTATCATCTTTAGATTAATCCTGCAGCTAGGAAGGATCCTGTTCTCCAGATGAATAAATTGAGTCAGTATTTAACTCCGTTGGTTTCCCGTTATCGTTGGGGGAATAGGCAGGGTTGCAAAGATGTCTTCCTCCCATAAGATAGCCAGTGTCTTAGCACTTGGGTCATTTGGGGTGCCAGGCTGGAGCAAGTGAGGTGGCTCCAGTCGGATCTGTGTTTACCTCAGTGTCCTTTTTCATCCTGGGGTAGGCAAAGTTCCTAAGCATTAAAATATAGGGAGAATTATGTCTACATGGAGCATTGTATCTCTGAGAAATATTATAACAGTATATACACATGAATATGCACACACGTATTTTAAATTATTAAAACTTGTTTTCCCCTCTTAACCCAGATGAAGTTGTTTTAAAATTTGAAAATGGCAAAACTAGAGTCAAGAACACATTTTATGAAACATTGCCAGTGGCAATTAATGGAAATGGACCCACCAAGGTGAGTCACAGTGACCTTCACCTGGTTCTCTCTACTTTGAAGAGACTTTGTGTAGCAATGTATGAAGTGTCATTGTTTTGATTTTGGTTTTTGAATTTTAAACTTTTTGAAAAACTTTATTTCATTGTAAATGATTTTCTGGTTTCATCTTTTCCACAGTATGACACCTGGTTTAATATTAATTAATCACTCAGTGATTTTCCTCAGGAGGATTGCCTTTTATTCTATCTGTAACACATTTCACATTAGCGTTTTATTTTATTACTATTGTAGCAGCCATATTACTTAGGAATGAGCTGTGTTTCACTAAAGTCTCTTGTCTATGCTGAATGGGAATGATTTCACCTGATTTACCATTTCCTAGGTCAACAGCTCTGTTAAGACAGAGGTGTAGTGTATGACCAGAAGGCTTGCATTACACTTAATGCTTTACCAAAGTGAAGTCAGAGACATAATCAACTAATTAAAATTTGCAAATGTATGTAACTGAGCTTGCTGAGAATGTTGTGGGCTACAGAGTTTATAGATGAAAAGTTTGCGTTTCATGCATTAAGTGAAAGGTTAGATCAAAAAGAATTAACGTAGAAGGTAACACACACGCACAGGAAATCAATGTGAGTCAATGCCCTGTATAGCTATCCTTATCTCAACCAGCAAAACCCCTTGTTCCTTCCTATTATTGCTTATACTCTCTCTACAACAAAATTAGAGATAAGGGCAAAATAGTTTCTGCTGGGTATTGAGGGGGTTGGGGGGAGAGGGAGGGGGCGGAGTGGGTGGTAAGGGAGGGGGTGGGGGCAGGGGGAGAAATGACCCAAGCCTTGTATGCACATGTGAATAATAAAAGAAAAAAAATGGAATATAAACTGCATTCAGTCTTGTGGGTAGGAGCTCATGTTGAGTGAACAGTGTGGCCCTCAGTTCCTGACAGGGAGTGTAAAATGTGAAGGCAGAAGACTTAGCATAGTACAGGAAATGCTCCTTAATCAACTGAAAGATCTGTGCATACTAAGAACTTCTAAGTATTCTGAGGAGTGGGGCAATCACTTTTTCTGGCATTTCAAGCTATGTATCATCCAGTTGTATTTCGTGTGAAATGATCCTATCCAGCAAAGCTGGGGTTTGAACTCAGAGCTTTGCACTTGCTAGGCGGGCGCTCTACTGCCTTAGCCATTCTTCCAGCCCTTTTTGCTCTGGTTAATTTGGAGATGGGGATTTCAGTTTTTGCCCAAGTGGGTCTGGGTTTTGATCCTCCAGTTTTATGCTTCAAGCAGTCCCTTGGATGACAGATGTGTGTCATCCATTGAGATGGGGTCTCCTAAATTTTGGCATACGCTGGCCTCCAACTGCCTCCAGATCTGAGCCTCCTAGGTAGTTAGGATTACAGGTGTTAGGCACCAGCGGCCAGCTTGGTGCATTTCCTAATGATTCTACTTGACAACCAACAGTAAAGTAACCTTTTTTTGAAACTCATGTTTGCTATAATATGAAACCTTGAAAAAAGTTGTATTAATAAGCTTTCAACAAACACTAATATTTTATCCATAGCAGTATGTTAGAATTAAATAGAGTCATGTGAATAGCATTTATTCCCTTGCCCAGGCTGATGGGAAAATAGATTACAACCTTTTCTGACTTTCATGAAAGTTGACAGGATTTTTTTGTATTAATATTTTATGTTAATTTTACTTATTACTTTGTTTAGTAAAGAATGATTAATGTCAGTAGTTTTGGGCCATAATAGTGAATTAAATGATGATTTAAGCTGTTTTCTCATTTAACAATATGTGAATGATAAGTTCTTTAGAGTGTGTCTGTAACAGTACCAAAGTGTGTGAATGTGAAAGTATTTCTTACTTTCCCCGAATCTGATGTTACTCCAATAGTTTAAAAATTATAAATAATGTACACATCACTTGTAATCTTCTACCCACCCATATGGTTTCCATGCATCGCTGGTTTTGGTTTTTCACTTCCTCAGTACTATTTCTATGAGGATTCATATTCCCGTGTGTTTTCAGAATCAAACAAAATGTGCAAACAATTATGACCTTTTTAAATTTGCTTTTTATTGAAACCATACTTCTGTATTTATTCTAAATAGTTTTCCTAATTGTCTAGATAGAATTCAATGTAAATCAATTTTTGATAGAATGTATGGTTTGGGGTTTCAGACTTTACTTTTTATTCCTGAAGTTTATTTATTGTTAGTAATACGTCTTAAGATATTTACTTTAATGCTTGGATTTTTCTCACAAATATCAGATAGTATACATCTTACAGTAGTCATGAAATCAATGGCAGTTTTATACATCAAATGGCCAGTTTTACACATGAAGACAAGTAATTTCTGAAAATAATTTGAAAATAATTTGATTTGTAGTGAAAAATAGTGACCTTAATTTTTAGCATAAAATCCACAGTGCTTGGCTCATCTTGAAGAATAGCATGATTTTTAAGAAGAAATTAAAGAAGCAAGCCAGGAAAGAAGGAAGGGAGAGAAAGAAGAGAGAGAGTGAGGAAAAGAGAGAAGGAGGAAAAGAGGGAGGGAACCAGGGAGAAGAGGGAGGTAGAGAAAGAAGAGAGGAAGAGAGAAAGAAGGAAGGGAGGGAGGCAGAGAAGAAGGGAAAGAAAGAAGGTAGGAAGGAGAGGAGGGAAAGAGGAAAAAAGAAGGGAGAGAAGGAGGGAAAAAGAAAGAAAGGAGGAAGGAGAGGGGAGAGAGAGAAAGAAGGGAGGGAGGAAGTAAAATAGAGAGGGAGGAAAAGAGTGAGGGAGGGAGAAAGAGAGCCAAGGAGAAAGAAGTGAGAGAGGAAGGGAAAGAGAGGGAGGAAAAAAGAAGGGAGAGAAAGGAGGGAGGAAGAGAGAGAGGAATAAAGAAAGAAAAGGAAAGAAAATGTTCTGGCTAGAAAAGTGTCTTTGCCAATGAAAATGACAATCATACTTGGAAATATTTTGTTATTGTGAAAGAAGAATCAGGAAAATACCACCACCTGGTAGCCAGCGGGGAGTGCCGTGAGCAGCCTGACTACATAAACAGTGTTCCTCACCTTTGAAGCTGCCAGCAGAAATGTCTGCTGTTTCTATGAAGAAAACAGATGTAAATGGGTAAATGGTGGGGGGCTGTGGAGCCAACCTCTGCCTGTGCCGAGGGAGCTCTGAAGAGGGGGTTTCTGTCAACAGGAATGTGTCTAAAGACCTTAACTATCTGTGGTAAATTGAAATACATGGCAGAGTGTAGAAGAGTTGCAAAATCAAGTTTTAATTCTGAAAACTAAAAGTAATGCCTTTTTATACCCTAACCTCTTAAAACTATCCATCACTTTCATATTTACATGGGGATTCTAATAAATGGATCAATAATACATGAAATAAATATTAAATTTTTATAAGATTTTTGAGATGGGAGAAGTGACAGTCTTCATAGGTAATAAAGGATTTTAAATATGGTCATGTATTTGGGGCACTTTTACTTCCTTTAAAAACATTCTTAGAATATTTTACCAAATCTCTGCATTTCATGCTTGCATTTTGGCCTTTTAAAAAAATAATCCTTAATAAGGAACTTGTTTGCACATAGATCTATTTGTTTTCTTCCTTCAAAATCATGACATTTTGTAGGTCAGAAGTGACTTAATTAATACTCAGATTCCTCATTTAGCAACAGTACATTTGTTATTTCTGTTTTTATTTGACAGGCACATTAAAATAAATGACCACATTGACTCTTGAAATATCATTAATGAATGTCATGACTGCATATTTCCTGCTTTGGAATTTGTTTCCTGAAATAACATGCAATCCAGAAGAAATGTGAATGAGTTCCTTGTCCTTGTCTTCTGATCTTGCTGCAGAGTTAAATGTAGCTCTACCTACAGTATCCGTGGAACACAAAGACTTTCCTATTTTAATTACTAGTGTACTATTTCAGTAGCATTTCTTTGAAAGATTCAGTGCAATAGTACTATTTGGACAGAATTCCAAATATTTCAGAGGAATCTGGTAAAATGAACAAACCTGCTTCATTTAATATATCTCTTTGAGCTTTAGGCAACTACGAAAATCTAGTGGGCTTTTCTGCATATTTTTTGCTCTCCATGTTTAATATATAGACTTTTGATTTGAGCTCACCTTTAAAATGAAAAATTAATGCCAGTGGCTCATGCCTGTAATTCTAGCTACTCAGGAGGTAGAGATCAGGAAGATGGTGGTTCGAAACCAGCCTGGGCAAATCGTTTGAGACCCTATCTCAAAAAAACCCATGACAGAAAAAGGGCTGGTGGAGTGGCTCAAGGTGTTAGCCCAAGCAGTTTCAGCCTCACTGTGTTGAGGTGAAATTGTATGGGGTGGAAAAGCCCTACAAATGCTGTTACCACTATGAGGTATTAAAATTTCAGGAGAGGTGGTAACTCTTTATTATTTATATAGCAAAAGAATTTCCTCTAAAATCTTTAAACTTTAGAAGCCTAGTCAAAAATTTTTTTAAGGGCTCAGAGAGAAAAATCTTAAGTGTGTTTACCTGTCTTTCCCATCCATCTTCTCTCAGACTCTCCCTAAAACCACACACTAAATCACAGATTTTACAGATGAAATCACTTCCAGTAGATGCCTAAAGAAAGGTGTGTGTGTGCAGGGGGCGTCAGGAGGGGACCTTGTCAGAGATCTGAAGGAGAGTTGGATGGGTAAGCAGTATGGTACTTGTGGGGTGATTGTGGGGTGATTTTAGTTGGGAGCTGCCCTAGGACCATTTTAATCTGCAAGCCATCTTTTTCTGAGTCAGTGCCTATGAATCAGCACCAGAAGTCTTGTTTGTGATAGCTTAGTTTCCAGGGAAATTCAGTGCCTTCAGTGATAAAGTTAACTCAGTATTTGTTTGGCGATGTGTTGATGGAAAAAATCACATTGCCACTACTCCACTTAAGGTAGGTGTCCATGCTGGGTTTTCACACACATTTTTTTGATTACTAAGTTGTTCATGTGACTCATTGTGGTCTTGCTTAAAATTGTGCTTTCTTGATATATTTTTAAAATTGTCATTTCCATTATTATCCCTTCTATCAAATAAAATGACCTTTATAGTTTATGAGGTATGTTCTGACATTTCTAGACATAGTTTGCTCTGCTTAATGATTCATGGTCTGAACAAAATATTGTTCAGTGTGCACATTTACATGGAAAGAGTCTGTCTCTTGTAGAAACAGGCTTTGAAGGCACATGAACACAGAATGAAAACACATTGGTTGGCGAGCATCACTTTTGTTCATAGGCCATTTTCCTTATTTACTAGATTCTCCTGAATTACTTCGGAAACTATGTACCTAACTCCTGGACACAGGATAAAGGCTGCACTCTTTGTGAGTTTGATACAGTTGACTTGTCCACAGTAGAGGTAAGTGGAAATGACTATGTATGACCCTTAGGAACAAAAGTACAATGTCATGGAAATGTAGCGATTTATAGGAAAAAAATATTTTAGAATAGGTAATGGATGTATAACTTTAAAACACAGTGATTCAGAAAATTGCTAGATTTGTGTGCTTCTGAACAGTTTTTGAAAGCATAAACTAAAATTAAGGTCAATGAAAGCAGCTTTGTGGTTAACATTTAATAGCTTTGTATGATGGGTGCTGTGGTGTTATTTTTGTCTGTTGGCTTGGTCAAAGTATTGAGAGAAATGATTATGTTGCTCCCTGATCTTATCAATCTCATCTGTGCTTGATTTTTAATTTGATGATTTATAAACAATCATATGTGATTATCTAATTAAAAACTCTTAATTTCTTTATGACCTAACTCATTTGAACATCACAAAAGTCAAAAAGTAGGTAGTACTGTTTGGTTCAGTTTTGTAAATGAGAATACTGAGGAACGTAAAGGTAAGGGGTGCCAGGCACCAGTGGCTCATGGCTGTAATCCTAGCTGCTTAAGAGGCAGAGATCAGGAGTATCGTGGTTTGAAGCCAGACCAGAAAAGTAGTTTGTAAGATCCTATCTTGAGAAACCCCATCACAAAAAAAGGGCTGGTGGAGTGTCTCAAGGTGAAGGCCTTGCGATCAAACCCCAATGTTTCAAAACTAAATAAATTAATAAATAAGGTAAGTGGTTTGCTTAATTAAGGGCATAAGATTATTAATTGTTGGTATAGGGATTTGAATGTAGGGAATCTTGCTCCAAATCCTATGTTCTGACTACTGTGCAATTTTACCAGTGTCATACTGTGTGCCAGGCCCTGGTTTTATACATATGTATATGTATGAAAATGCATATAGATAATTATAGTTATATTTACTCATCCTTACTTTGAGGGTAAGCAACCAGTTGAAGATAATTTATGGTTTATCCATAAAACATGCTGATGTCACCTGATAGCAGTTTTAGAACATCTTGTAGAAATATCACTCTTTTATACAGTTACTCTAGTATCTTGGAAGACACTAATGAGTATGAACAATTGGATTCGGAGGAGTGATTTTTGTCATTAAGGCTGATTTCCCCTTCATTCACCATAGGTTTATTGAGTACCAAGGGCACACCAGTTAAGTAAAAGAATAGAGGCAGAAATAGAACTGCTGGGAAGATAGCTCTGGTAACAGCTGAAAGACTTTCAGTGTCCTGAACTCAAGCTGCTGGATTCAGTAATTTCTATTCTTATTGCTGTCTGAAGGGAGGATAAAGAATAATTTGTCTACATTTAGGAGCTTCTGAATAGAGCCCTATTTTACTTGAAAGTAAGACTCTTTTGGCCACTCTTCCAGCTAACGAACTGAATGTTTCCTATCTGGAAAGAATGCCAGCCTGTTTCTGAGTGAAGTGTACCTTGAAGATGTTTAAAAATTCATCATGATCTTTTTTGCAGAAAGTAGCACTGTCCTTTGGAGGGAGAAGTAATGCTTTTTATTTGTTTTGTTTTTATATAAACTTTCTGGTACAAAGGTAGAAAAATATTTTCTTGCAATTTTTTTTGCACATAGGGATAAATCTCTTGGTCCTTAGGTTTTTGCCTTATAACCTGCTAAAATGTGCTGCAAAGAAAGTATTCATTCCTAACTGCAGAATGAAAGTCTCCTTTCTACATGTAGAAACCATGTCTGAAGAAAACTTTGCTCAGTGTGCACCTGTAGGTAATAAATATTGAAGAATTGCTAAAGGAATATACCTCACAGTGACAGTTGTATGGTTACTTAAGAAAGAGTAGTTTTAGATGTGAGCCATAGACTCCTTTCCTTTCTTTCTTCCTTCCTTCCTTCTTCTTTTCCTTTTACCCACTTCCCTTCCCTTTCTCTTCCCCTTCTCCGTTTCTCTTTCTTTTTTCTTCCCTTCTCTTTCTTCTTCCCTTTCTCCCTTGCCTTCTCCTCCTTTTCTTTTTCTTTTTTGTGGTTTTGAGTATCCAACCCAGGTCCTCTACCAAGCTAGACCAGGTCCAGGGAGAGTCCTAAGCAACAGCCCAGATCTTCATTCTGGTTTCTTAGATGAAGTAGTCAAAATATCACTTAGATCTAATGAAGTTTTTTGAAGGCTATTATGAAGGAATATTGATAAGTGAGTAGGCTGATCCTTAATTACATATAATAAGTACTAGAGTGAGTTTCCTCTGCACAAGAGGAATTACAAGAACTGATTCAGTAAAATTACAAAGATTTATTTCCTATGTTACAGAACTGCCACAGATAATTCAAGTTTAGCAGATTATGTTGAACTGAAATTCTAGTATTGTTTTCTGTGGCACGGATTAAGGTTTGAATAGAATTTTAAATAAACACTAATGATAATGTGTTTTTATGCTTGCTATAAAACAAAGGTCCATCCAAATGTAACCATAGGCATTTTTATTGAGCAACCAACACCCTTCCTACCTCGATTTCTGGACATACTGTTGACACTGGATTACCCAAAAGAAGCACTTAAACTCTTCATTCACAACAAAGTGAGTATTTGAGAAATGAATATTCTGTGTGAACACTATTTAGGGTACTTTTTTTGGAACTGCTGTTTGTGTGTGAAGAGAAGCATTGTCTGCTTGATTACAATTAGTGGGATATTTTTGGAATCATTACTGCTCTACCATCTTAGGAACAGAGGGTTTTAGGACCTTGAAAGTAGCATCATACTTTCCAGATGAACCACATGAACTGCCAATTTTTGTAGATCAAAAATGGCTGAATCAACTCAGTGTACAATGAAGAGTACGCCACGAGCCTGAATGCTGGTACTTTCCTTTAGAGAGCTGGCCATTTAGTTGCTGTAACTTTGGATAAAACCCTAACATAACACTTAAAACAGCATCCAGTTATTGTTTTGTTTAATTTTACAGTGACATATGCTTCCCCAATGGAATTTGATACTATGGTTTCTTTCTAAATTATTCAGAGCCCCTAAAACACCTCCCCCTTTTATTTAAATTTAGTGACATTTTTGTCTTATATTTTTCCATTTATTTATCTCTCTCCTCTTAAAAGTTATTATTATTCAAATAAAGTAGTTTATTTTTCCTCAGGAAAATGAGGAATTTATATTTCCTCATTTTACTCCTAATACTTCTTAATTTACTCTTCTTTTTCCCCGGATATATGTCAATTATCATTTCCTTACTTCAGAGACTATTTTAAATTTTCAGAAAGTCAGATTAAATAAAGAGTGAAATGTCAAACATTTTGTTTTTTAAAATGTGCTTGCATTAATGTGTTTTATTTTTGCATGTTGTCTTTTATTTACATTTTACCTGCTCTCATATGGCTGTTAAGTTTCTTAATGGCAGCTTTTACTCTTGTCTTCATTATTTAAAGATTAACTCTGTGCAGCTTCTCTGTGCTAAGTGACTTTAACAAGCTGTGAAAAGCATCAGTTTTTCAGGACACTTGGTACATAAAAATCAGAAGTGCTGCAGTAATGGAAGAGCTAATCTTTTCTGAATGATAGAACAATTAAATAATACTAAGGTGATAGATTTGTGTTGATGATTTTCCATTATTTGTCAATAAAACTTTATTAAACTTTCAACACTTCTAGTAAAAAGCTTTTAATGTTACCATTAGTTGTTCCCTCTTGCTTCAAAGAAGCTTGTAATATTTTACTTTGCAGAATGTGATTATTTTAATTTATAACAGATTAATACCTGTTACATTAGACTTTTTTTTTTTGGCAGACATCTAAGATTCTCTGACTATAAGGCACTTTTCCCCTTGAGTTAGGAACATTTTTTCAAAACTAAGGACCTCTTAAGGAATAGATGTTAAAAGAATTTTGAAGCATATTCTTTTTAAAATATTGATGTATATATATTTGGGATTCTACATGTGATTTTAAGTGATAAGTATAGCTTGTTAATGTGTTTATTATTTTGTCTGTAACTGAATGAATGTTTGAATTGTGGACTCTGCAGTTTTGAAGGTGAAGCATTACGTCCATTCAAACATTTCAGTCATCTTATTGTCTTCTTTTCTCTCTAAATTTTGATTTTTAAAATATGTTGCAGGAAGTTTATCACGAAAAGGACATCAAGGTGTTTTTCGATAAAGCCAAATATGAAATCAGTACTATAAAAATAGTTGGACCAGAAGAGAATCTAAGTCAGTCTGAAGCCAGGAACATGGGAATGTATGTCTTACTGCTTTTAAGTTAATTGATTCTCGTAAAGAAAGTTTAAGAAGAAAGCAAAACCTTTCTCTCCAAAATCAGTATATTAAATTTGGGTGTCATTTGTTTGTGTGTGTGAGCACACAACAGCAAGAGGCTACTATTGACAGCTTTAGCAGTGACTCACGTTTAAGTTCACTGTCTGAAGGCTGCGTGTGGTAAGACTTACTCCACACTGTGGCGATAAAGGGGTATCCTCCTTTACAGTTACCTACTGACCTAGATAATGCTGCAACCCACGGAAGAGATGTTTTAGGTCCTCTTTTAGCTACTTTAATACTTCAGGTACAGTACTTACACGACTCAGGTAATAGAACAATTACATATTTGCTGACTGTTCTTGAAATATTGCAGGCAAGGTGATGAGCTGCTGATAACAAGGAGAAGACATGGTGCCTTCTCATCAAGTGATACTCTTGTCTCTTTCCAGGCCCAATACCTTGTGTGCTGGATGCTCAGGGACCGGGGAATGGGTTCTGCCTGGGGTAGGGGTGTTGGGATAGCAAGGGAAAGAGACCTTTGGAAACAAAATGTTTTTATTGATGCTTCAATAATTAATTCATCTGAGAATCCCTTGAGTCCATATGCAGAACTTGTTTTCTTTTGATTTTTGCACCGTGGTAATAAGTGTTTCTGTTCAATGTCCTCCTTGGCCTTTGCTTAGAAATAAAGAATAGTAGGGAGTCACACTGACAAGAGCACACAGTGGCGAGTGGGACCAGCGGAGCAGGAGGGAACCTCAGAAACAGGGAGAGATGTTTCTCTCCCGGAAACCATATACACAGACTTCCCACGTCATCATGGAAAATGACGACTCATTCCTCAATGTTCCTCTGATGCTACAGACTGCCATAGTCAGTCCCTCTGTCCACCCCCGAACCTGACACACACACCTATAAGCAGCCAGGGGAGCATCTATCTCAGAAAGGATTCTGTGCAAATCAAGTATGAAAGTCTTAGTACTTAGAGCCAACCCACTTATATTTCCAACAATTCAATTAAAACCCAGCTACGTGAAATATAAGCCTTTATTTTACAGTATGTGTGCGTACAAAATATTTTTATTTGTGCAAAACAAATTTTAAGCATAAAATACACTGGAGTGAATTGTTTTCCATTTCTGAAGTCATTGGATGCTAAATTATAAGTTGTCACTCTGAGCAGATTTTTCTGTCTTAAAATATTTAGCAGCTTCAAAATATATTTCACCTGGCCAAAATTTTTAGTGTTTGTCTACCTATAAATATCGGTGTTGTAAGCTGATTGTTTTGAAATTTAAGATGCTGTTTTGATTGGAAAATATGTTAGGGAAACTTTCTTTTACACACAAGTTTTGTGTTAATATTTTTCAAACAGGAAATGTTTATTTTAGCTAATTTTATTTCATTTCCTTTTCCAATGTCAGGGATTTCTGTCGTCAAGATGAAAAGTGTGATTATTACTTCAGTGTGGATGCAGATGTTGTTTTGACAAACCCAAGAACTTTAAAAATTTTGATTGAACAGAACAGGTACTAAGATTTATATCAATTTATTATTAAGATGATAATTTTCTACATCTATGTGGAACAGTCCATGAGTTGAAATAAGTCACATTAAATTATTTTTCAACATTCTATAAGCATCTTGTTGTAATTATTTACTTTTCATTAAGTGAATCATACAGATAATAGCCTTAAGGGAGTTAGAAATCTGTAATACTGGGCTTGGGGATATAGTTCAGTGGCAGAGTGTTCACCTTGCATGCTCAAGGCGCTGAGTTCAATCCCCAGCACTGCATAAGTAAAAAAAAAAAAAAAAAAAAAAAAAAAAGAAAAATGTCATATTAATTGCAGACACAAGTATAGTTTATTAATTAAATTTGTTCTATTTTTTTCTTTAAAGCGAGGTGAAATTATGATATGTGTGATTTTAATAAAATTCAAAGTTGTTTGATTCTCTGTAGAATTTTTAAAGCAGAATTTCATAAATCTTCTGACCTAAAAGTTATTGCATAGAAAGTTTTAGCTCTCTAAAGAAAATTTCTGAAAAAAATTTCAGAGGTAATTATTCCACAGCCAGAGTTATAGCTTTATTTACTATTGAATTGATTTACCACTGGGCACTACCTGTTTTTATTGAATTTAATTGAAATGAGATAAAGACACTCTGCATATCAAATGGCACTAACCTCTATTTGTTGGGAGCACTGGGGTTTGAACTCAAGGCTTGTGCTTGCTAGGCGGGCTCTCTACCACTTGAGACTTAACCTCCACTTGTTATTCCCACTGCTGCTACTCAAAGTAACCCCTTGCAGTGAGTGCTGAGGAATTGCTAAGCACTGGTTAAAGTACATTGCATGTATTAGCACAGCTATTTGTCATAATAAATAGAATGCCTAGCAGATGAAGGTTAGAATGACATTTTTTTTTTTGCTAAATAAGACATATAGGAAATCTATTGTGCTGTATTAATCCATCCCATATATGATGGATTCGTCACTAGAATCTTTCCATTTGAAAATTTATTTTTTACTTCAAAATCTAAGACTTCTCTGGATCAATCTGTATCTGAAATCCCATGTAAAACTATCCATAGATATGTACCTGTAAGTTAACTATTTGGTATTTTTCCAAAACATACGAATAAGGTTTTGACCATTTAGCAAGAAAAGGCAGGTGGTGTACCCTAGGGATATGGTATGCTATAGTTTATTTATAACTTTTAAATTTAGTGGGATTCAGTAATATTGTCTTGAATTTGCATTGCTAATTTCTTCAGACTTTGATTGAGATGCAATAACTTGCAATACACATTACTAATACTTAGATATTTTTATTTGATGCCACTTTGGTAAGAACTTAATAGTTTTTCTTTTAGTGGGATGTTTAAAGAATCTATGACAGGTACTTAACATTTTCCTCTTAATATTAATCTAATGGTTAAATCTTTGAAAAATAAAATTTCTTCATAAAGGATTCAGTTGCACTCTTGGTCTCTTTATCTCTTGAAAAGTCACTAGAGGAGCTTGCTTCCAGTTCCATGGACTCCTGTTAGTGATGAAAGGCTTGGGCTCCTGTGATCACTACAGTTCTTGCTTCTGTACCCAGGCATGCAGCTTCCATAAGAAATTCGCACATGGCAAAATACCGTGAAACATTGAAGACTTGACTGAAAAGGGACAGAGAATGGGATACATCTCGGGCATGTGACATTGTCTTTTCCTTCCTTTCTCTCTGTCACTTATTGCCTTGCTGCAAATTTTACTCCTCCATTTGTATAATATGATTTATTCTCCCCATCTGTTCTCCTCATATTTCTGTTCTCACAAACACAGGTGCAACGTAGACAGATTCGGTTTTCAGGTTTCTTATTCATAGTCCCGAAGGCTGGGAGTTTCCATAACCATGCCTAACTCAGGGCTTCTTTGCTCTATAACATGGAAAATGTTACCTTGGGAGAAGCATGGGAAAGAGAGAGGGAGGAAGAGGAAGGGAAGGAGGAAGGGAGGGAGGGAAAGACACATAGGGAGGTTGGAAGAAAGAGAGAGAGAGAGAGAGAGAAGAGAAAAGAGAGGAGAGAGAGATAGAGACTGCAAACTGCCCATTTTTGCAACTAATCTACTCTAGAGTTAAGAGCCTAAATCCATTCTTAAGGGAGGGTGCAGGGCCCCATGGCCTAGCCACCTCTTAAAGGTCCCACCTCTCAACACCATCACAATGGCAAGTTTATCAGGAGTTTTGTGGGGAGGTTTTCAATCCTTTTTAAGGCAATTACTCTCTATTTTATTTTTTGAGAAATAAAGGACCAAAAAAAAATGTTCAGTGTTGCCAGGGATAACTTATTATAACCACAACCCACTTTAAAAGTCACAAAAAAAATGGAAACATACTTTAAAGTGATTTGGAACTGAATTGCAGGAACACTGGCCTGTTTACAAATGTCTCATTCCCTTTTTTCATTCAATGAACATTCACTGGGCACCATAAAGCCCCAGAGACTGGTCTATTTGCCAATGACAATGGAAATACTTGATTTTATTTAATGTCATTTCTAAACTACCCTAATTAAATTTAAATATGATACATAATTAAATAATTGGGTGTTTTCAATCTCTTGAATGTAGCAAAAGTACTTTTAAGACTTGCTTTAATATTTTATTAGCATTTTCAACGATTTTTCCTTTTGGTTGCACTTTTTAACGAGTTATTTTTGAAAATGAGCCACGAATCCATTTAAGAAAATAGACTGAGATGAAATTTCTCTTCTTCTTTATTTTTGGATCAATTACATGTATGTTGAATGAATTTATTGTGCTGTGTGTCAAGCAAAGCTCCCAAAAAGTAGCTCTGTGGTAATTAAAAATTAGTGATGATGGGGTTAACGGAATGGCTCAAATGGTAGAGTGCCCTGCCCAGCAAGCATGAGGTCCTGAGTTCAAACCCCAGTACCACAACATGCAAAAAATTAGTGATGATGCGAGCTTCTCTCTTCTTTAGGAAGATCATTGCTCCTCTCGTAACTCGGCATGGCAAGCTGTGGTCCAACTTCTGGGGCGCACTGAGTCCTGATGGGTACTATGCTCGATCTGAAGACTACGTGGACATTGTCCAGGGCAAGAGAGTGTGAGTCTCTCCAGTCGATCTTTTAATGTGCAATGCCACCATCTAAATGTGTCATCGTTACTACTACTTGAAATTTTTTAAATTTATGTTTGTCCTTCACGTTTAATGGAAATTTGAGAACCTGAAGACCACTTGAGATTCTGAAGTACATTTTAAGCTAATATATATATTTTTGAATTTCCCATTTCTAAATCTTTACAGAAGGAAACTCATTGTGGAACTAGTAAGAGATAAAATGTGGTCACCACACGTACTCATCTAAAGGTTGGCAGAAGAGTAATATGCTCTGGTTAAAAGTGTGTAAAGAAAGTTTAGTTTAGCTAATGGCTGTGATTAAGAGTTGTTTTGCTAGCTTTTAAAATTTATAAATCAGCAAACAATAACAACTCAGAAAACCAAAACTTGCCAGTGTTCACAGGTGCATGAGTTTTTGTGACCTTTTCCTGTGAAAAGATAGGTATGTGCACCAATTGGCATATGCCACAAAATGTGTGCACAAGTGATGTTTAATTCGTAAAGAGTAGTTGATATTTTCTACAGTAAAAAATAATCCCAGTCAAAATAGTTTTGCAAAGGTAATACCAGGAAAGAATACCATTCTTCTTTTTTGCATAGAGATGTGGATTAGAGTGACTGAGTTGTTAAGTGCTTTGCCTTACTTCTCAGCCTGTCAGTCCAGTAAAAACGTGGACTCATACTCTCCCAGCTATAAAGATATGCCCTTAAATTTAGAAAAACATGCCACACGTTTTTCTTTGAATAGTTGAGTGGTAAAAAGATGTTTTCTAGTGGGAAGAAAGTGATTGCTGTAGAAACTTTAAATTTGAATGATGTAAGTAAGATTAAATATTTTGTTAGCTGCAATTTAAAAGTGTGACAGGTGAGAAAACACTATTAAGACAATACTTTATTAAAGTTGTTTTATTGAGTCAGAGTAGTA